GAGTAAGCACACCCTTAGGAGACAGGGTGCTGGCCTGCAGGCTGCAGTGTGTGCAGCAGCCTGTGTGCCGTGCATGTTATCATGGTTCATTTTTGCTCAGCTTCTCTGGGGTGTGTTGATGCAGTTATGAGGTGGGGAGAGTCATACGTGGGTGGGTTTCCAACAGAACAAAGGGAGGGTAAACTCTGAGATTGACAGCTGTTAAAGTGGTCTCTTGATACCAAGATTCAACTCCTGATACCAAGGTCATAAGTTAGACATTTTGGGTTGACTTCTATTAGGGAAAGGGTGCTTATGTTTGTGGTTGTATTTTTAGTGGGTACATGTCACTTTTTACTTCCCAGCATCCATTATTCTTACTCCTTGTGACAGCATCACAATTTTCCTTTGGGAGTGACCAGTCCACGTGATCCCAGTATGTTGATCTGGCTTCAGAACTGGGCTAATCAGAGCTTTCCATACCCATGGCTACAGTGACTGGGTCAGGAATGAGCCACAAGAGACTTTCGCAGGAACAAATGAGGAAGGAACATTCTCTTCCCACTGGAGATTTAAGGAGGAAGCCTCGAGCTTCTAGAAATACTACGTGGGAACAGCCTCTGTTCCAGTTCCAGTTGCTCTGTAGCACACTACCCCACATTTTAGTGGCTTAAATTACAATCATTTTGTTATACCCCATGAATTCTGTAGTTCAGGATTTCATTTGGGCTTGACTGGGCGATTCTGCTTTTTGTGACATTGATTGAGGCCACTCAATGGCACTCATCTAGTAGATGAACCGGTCTGGTCTGGAGGGTCCCAGACGGCTAACACGCGTGTTGAGTGCCTTGGTGTTGAGGGCGGAAAGGCTGGACCCAGCGGGGACCACTAACCAGAACGCCCACAGCAGCCCTCCCCAGCATGGTGGTCTCAGGGTAGCTAGACTTCTTACATGCCAGCTGGCTTTCCCCAGGGCAAGTGTCCCACGAGAGCCACATGGAAGCTGCATGACCTTTTCTGACCTCACCTTAGAAGTCCACCGCAGTTTTGGTTACAAGCAAGTCATAGGCCAGCTCAGATTCAAGGGGAGGGAAATTAGATGCTACCTCTTTTTTTTTTTTTAAATTGTTATAAGAGTTTATATGAGCCAAACTGATGACATATGCCAGGGAGCAAGATCTAAAATGCTCCCTAGATTCTACCTCTTGATGGTGGAAGAGTGCAGTCACACTGTACAAGAACAGCGCAGTGTAGGCTGTCACTGCAGCCGTCTTTGGAAAATACAGACTGCTACTGTGTCCTTGAGAAGAATGCGCTCTCAGAGGAAGCAGCTGAGAAATAGAAAGAGAGCAGTCCTACAATGTCTGAACCTGGATTCAATTTTTTCCCAGGACTTCAGTTACGAGAATCATCAGATTCCTTTTCTGCTTAAACCAATCCGAGTTGTGCTTTTGTCACTTGCAACTGAAAGAGCTTCTCCTCTTAGTGTGTGCATCAGTTACCTATCACAGCATGACAAACCCCGCGACAACCCAGCAATGATTTGTTATTTCTCAGGATTCTGTGGGTTGGCTGGGCCGTTCCTGTGCTGGTCTTACCTGGGCTCACTCAGGCAACTGCTGGAATGGAAAGTTCAGGATGGCCTCATACACGCGTCTGGCTGTTGGTTGGGAGCCTCGGTTCTTCTCCATGTGGCCGCTCATTCTCCAGTAGGATAGACTGACTTTCTTCTTCCTTGTTTGGTGGTCTCAGACCAGTGTTCCTAGAGAGTGAAGGTGGCAAGGCTTCTTGGGGTCTAAACTCCAGCAGTTGTAAGATGTCACTTCTGTCATATTCCTCTCTTCAAAGCAAGTGATAAAGCCAGCCCAGGTCCAAGGAGTGTGTGAAGATTCCACCTTATAATGGGAGAGTTGCAAAGAATTTGTGACCGTATTTATTCCACCACAGTTGGTAGATAGTTGGGTCCTGTTAGATGGGAACATCTGAGGAATTAGTGTATGTATAGGAAGCAGGGTGTGTGTGCCAGGCAGACAGGGCCAGACTGTTCTAGGAATGTTTTCACTGAGAAGCAAACAGCTGGAGTGTGATTTCCGTGGTGGCCCTTCTGAGCTAAGGGCTTCATGACAAGGTCTACACCAGACCACTGGTTCCCAGGGGCAGCTTTGAGTTGAAGGCTTACTGTGTCTTAGTGACCACCTCTATGAGCCTCAGTTTTCCTCTGTAAAATGGGTGCGATCATTCCTGCCTCATAGTTCAGCTGTGAGGCTCAAGACCAGATAATGACCATGAAGGTGCTTTGTAAATTACAGAGTGCCTTGTATATGTGACTAAAAATTATCATCTAAAACTTGCGAAGGAATAATCAAGGTGGGCCTGGATGGCCAGAGAGGGCAGGAGGAAGGAGGGTGAGGTGGGGCTTTGAAAGATGCAAGTATTCACACTGGTGGCAGCAAGGGCTATATTTCTTCTTTTTTTAAAATCCTTACTCGAGGACACTTTTTCATTTTTTGTTCACATAGAGCGGGAGGGAGAGAGAGAGAGAAACATCGATGTGAAAGGGACACATCAAGTGGCTGCCTCCCGCACGACCCAACCAGGGTTGGGGACAAATTGTAACTGAGGTACGTGCCCTTAGCGGGAACCACACCCGGGTCTCTCTGGACCACAGGCTGACGCTCCAACCGCTGAGCCAAACCGGCCAGAGTACAAGGGCTATATTTCAAATTAGGAAGCTGGGCAGTAAAACTATGAAGGTGCAGAGGTGGAACAGTGACAGACTGTACCCAGGTCAGGGAGGAGAACAAGGTCAAAGGAAGCTCTCTCCCACTTCCCTGGACTCCAGGTCTCTGGGCTCCCAGGTGCTGGGTCAGCAACCCTTGATGATTACTCAGAACTCCAATCAAATCCTCCCTAGCCAAGCCTACAAAGCCTCCGCAGGCCACAGGGGGGCGATGATGGGAGCGTGGGAGAGGTGGTTAGACCGCGTCTTAGAGACAGCATCTTCTCTGGAGCTACCAGCATCAGGTCAGACCCCTCCCAGTGTACCCAAGCTTCTTTCCCCTCAGCAGCGTCAGAACCTCTGGCCATAAGTTGGGTCACAGGTGGCCTGGCTATACTGGGCTCCAAGCACCCCCCAATCCTTGGACAGGGATGGGGTGATTGATGGGTTTCCAGTGTATTCCAGGCAGAGGCTTGGAGCTGTTGCAGACTAGCCTGGGCTGCAGAAGCCCCAGGTGGCCACTCATGGCTCAGCTGACCCATCCAGGTCAGGCCCTGGACAGTCCAATCTGTGGTCGCCTCCCAAGCCCTGTCTGCCTGTCTGCCAGTCTGCCTGTCTGTTTATCCCAGCGTTCTCGCTGAGGAGAGAAGCAGCCTCTTCCTCAAAGAGTCCTTGGAGGCGGCGTTAAGGGAGACTCAGATTCCCCTATTCTAGCCATGTGCAGCTCATAGCTCGGGTCCACTTGGAAACAGGAAAGGACCCTGTGGAACTCCCAGTGCCCATCCTAGAGTCTGCCCCAAATAGGGCTCAGTGAGGGTGTGTGGAGAGAGAGAGCTGACACTGGTGTGGGAGCAAGGCCACAGGGTCCAGGCCTCCATCTTCAGACCCCAGCATGTGGCAGGAAGACCAGTCTAGGCTGGATGAGCCGGGACATGAGGCAGGCCCTGGCAGCTTGTGTCTACCTCACCCCATCTTCTGCTTCCAACTGGGACTCCATCCTTCTGTGGTCCATGAACCAGCAGCATCAACAGCACCTGGGAGCTTTTATTTATTTATTTTTTATCTATCTATCTATCTATCTATTTATTTATTTATTTATTTAATCCTCACCCAAGGACACTTTTTGATATTTTGTTCAGATAGAGTGGGAGGGAGAGAGAGAGAGAAACATCGACATGAAAGGGACACATCGAGTGGCTGCCACCCACACGACCCAACCAGGGCCGGGGACAAACTGCAACCGAGGTACATGCCCTTAGCGGGAACCGAACCCGGGTCTCTCGCAGACCAATGCTCTAACCGCTGAGCCAAACCGGCCAGGGCAGCACCTGGGAGCTTTTAGAAATGCAAAGTCTCAGGCCTTACCTCAGACCTACTGAATCAGAAACTCTGGAGGTGGGGCCCAGCAATCTGTGTTGTAAGAAGCCTCCCAGGGGAGTCTGTCGAATGCTAAAATTGTAGAACCATTGCCTGAGCCCACAGGCAAACTCTTGCTGAGGGGGAGGTGGGCGAAGTCCTGAAGCACACATAGCTGCTTACCCCGCCTCTGGGTAAGACTGGCTGTTCATGTGCTGGAGGGTGCCTATACCCAGGCGCACACCGACCAGCACAGAGTCTCAGAGAGTCCACATGCAGGGGATCTGGGGTCCAGTGGGCACAGAGAGGCACTCAGATGGAAGTAGGTAGGGTCAAAGAAGAGCTGTTCTCAACCAGATGACATCCTGTGCCCCACAATTCCTTTGTCCTTTGTCCCTTCTGAGGTTCTCTGAGTGCACCTACAGAGGCCAGGGAAGCTGAGTAGTCAGTTCCAACCAGGCACCTCCCGCTGAAAGATCCAGGAGGCCTGTGTGCCGAAGAGTATGTGAGAAAACCAGCAAGTCCTTTCTCTGCATGAGTGGGCCACGGCCAGGGGAACGTGGGCGAGCAGCAAGCAACGCCTAGGCAAGCGCACATCATCCCCTGAACCATGAAATCCTGCCCAGATGTGCAATACCCCTTGGCCCCTTCCCAGGGCTGCTCTCAGTGCCCACCTCAGCTCCCCACCCATCTCTCTGCTCTGGCCTGTGGAGCCCCAGGCCGCTGTCCACTTGGCCTATCACCAGGCCCTGCGGCATCTTCCCCTAAGGATCTGGAAGTGAAATCCCAGCCTCTGGGAGCTGCCGGGAATGTGGGGAGGGGAGAGAGAGGCTGAGCTTCCTTATGCTCAGATCTGGTTTCTCGCCGCTTCCCGTGGCGCACTGCCACAGGCTGAGCCACCAGCTGTGCTATATAAGGCCCAGAGGCTGGACCGCTGCAGAGCTGTAGGCTTGGACCCCCAGCTGAGGAGTCCCGCTCAGGACACGGTGAGCTCCACTCCCCTTCTCCTCACCCCATCCCTGCACCCCCCTGCCCGGCTCAGCTATTCCTGCCCTCCCCTGACTACCCCTCAGCTCCCCCAGAAAAGACCCCCCTTTCTGCTTTGGAATTCTCTCTTTTTTCCCATTGGCCCAAAGTCCTCTCCTTCCCCCATCTGAGGTCAGGGGCTCTCAAATGACCCCAGGCAGGAGCTTTGCAGTTCTGGGCACCCTACTCTCCTCTGGTCAGCCGTCCGCTTTGTCCGAGAGTTCTGAGGAGTGTGGGATGGGGAGCCTGACCAGCAGAGCATGTGCTGAGGAAACTTCCGTGGGCTGCCAGAGGGGAAATGGTTTTTCCACAAGATGCCTCAGGCCACCTTGGCCTCCCAGACAGTCCCGGAGCAGCCTCAGACTGAATGCCGTGCAGGTCCACGGAAGCTCTGCTCTCTGCTCAGAGCCTGGAGCTTGGGGTAAGACACACAATAGCTGGAGACCTCGGGGACGCCCGGGCCTCGGTTCCCTGGGCTGAGACATCGCTGGCGGGGGGATAGCAGGCTTAGAGGTAGATGGTCTGCAATGTGGGATTGGTCTGTTCTTCCCCTGGGACAGCGGAGTACTTTTGAATCTTTTTTCCAGAAAGCAGAACTCTCCCCTCCTCCCACTATACCCTGGACTTTGTCGGTTAAGGGGAACCACCTTTGAATTTCTAGGAACTGGTCAGATCCTGGGTTGACCAGAGTTCTGAGGAGAGAGCACAAGAGCTTGGGTCATGCCCCATGGGCCCTTTTCCCTAATGCTAGGCTGCTTTCCTCTTCCTGCTCCTGCAGCCTCTAACCCACAGGTAGCAGTTACTGGGGAGCCCTGGACTCCCAGTGTAGCCCTCCTCTCTCCTTCGGTGGGCTCCTGGCTGTGTAACTCCCAGCCAGACTCCAAACAGACAGGCCAGAAATGTGTTCCAGCTGCATCCTGTGTACATCTGGGAATGTGTTCATGGAGGTGGTGTATCTGAAGCATCTTGCCCTCCAGCTTGCCTGCCCTGTGAGAGGCCACTGTAGTTGGGGCTGGGGCTTCACGGCCTTAGTATATAGCCCCTTTGTGCAAGAGTGTGTGCCTCACTAAAGGGTAGCAAAACATGCCCCCACACCCAGGTCTTGGAAGTGATTAGTGAATCACCCAGAGGTTGCTGGGACTGAGCCCAGGCCCCTCCTCACTGGCAAGTAACCTACTCTCCCTTGTGCTCCGTCTCGATGTGGGGCCCTGGCGCCTGGACCCAGGGGGTGAATCGAGGTCTGCCTCATCTGAACTCAGAGTCTGAGCCTCTGCATCTCCCTAGCTGCCTGCATTTGCAACTTTGGCAGGTGTCATCTTCCACAAGACTTTATTCTGTCCACCCTTGAAAGGTCAAGAAATAATTCTGCTGCAGCCATAAGAGGTGACTCAGAAATGTGGAACCCGTTTCTTTGTAGGTCATTGGATCTGAGAAGCTTCCTAGGAGACTGAGTTCCAAGGACGACCTGACTGAAAAACCTTCACCCATCTTCTGTCATGTTCCCCACAGGGCCTTGGGGGAAGATGGTGGGGACCAAGGCCTGGGTGTTCTTCCTGGTCCTGGAGGTCACCTCTGTGTTGGGTACAGGCTAAGTATCTGCTGTCTCTCAAATCCCCAACTTGACATAGTGAAGTCATGTCTGGTTTGGGATTCAACTATACATCTGCCTTAAGACCTGAGGCTGTTTTATAGATGTATTCAAAATTTATACCCTGCTTGTTTCCCCAAAGAATTTGAGATTGTTCCCAATATTAAAACGCACAAAACAGAATCTTTTAAGGGAGGAGAAGAATGAGCTGTCATTCAGAGGGAGGAGAAAAGATAAGAGAGTTACCACCCCTGAGAGATAAATTTAGCTCTGAGCTTCCTAGCAGCCAAAGCAAAGGAAATCACAAGGGATCACTTTCTCAGAAGCAGGTTTAGGGTTTGATCTGGTTTTAGTTTCATGAAAATTCTTTTGGCTTAAAGCTCAATTTCAGTTAGATCCTGCAGTCCGATTTCACAGACAGAGCCTCTTCTAGTCTCCTTGTTCTCTAACTCCACCTTCTGGTGACACTGAGTTCTTGAAGGCATAGGTAGAGAGAATGTGCTTAATGGACTCTCCAAGGCATCTAAGTATCAGAGCTCCCAGCACTACCCTGTATACTCTCTCCTATCTCCCCTTTCTCTCCTCATTTCTAACCACGTACTCAGGTAAAGGAAAAAAAAAAAAAAGCTCAAACCCCTTTTATAAAGCCTCATGCCCTGCAGGCTGTGGACCACAGATGCAGGAACAAAGGCTGGCTCAGCATCTTGCCAAATCCTGTGTGTGCCCACCTCCTGCCTTGCTCTTTGCACCCCGACAGCTGTTGCTTGTGTAGATGATTAATTCAACCATCTGAGGGGAAATCAGAGTGGTTTGATTAAAAGAGCTCCTATCACCCCAATTAAGCGGCATAGGGAATTCTGATTTGACTCCTCACATGAGAATTCATTGCCTTTCAAAGCGTTTGCAGCCCTCTGCTCTCCTTTCTCCTTCCCATTCTGGAACCCCAACCCAGCCTCAGGTGGGGTGGGGCTGGAAGCTGCCTTGTACCCATCCTCAGGCAGACCCCACCACTGTGGGGTCAGAAAATTGAGGACGACTGCCCCAACTAGGCCAAAGAAGTCCTTGAGAGGGAGGGTGGACTCTTAAAGCCAATGTTGCCAAGGGAAGGGAAATGGACACCATTGTCCAGGCATTGCGCTGACAGGAGTGGCTAACACTATGTGCTAGGCATTGTTCTAAGTGGATTTTATGAACGAGTTTATCTAATCCCCACAATCCTCTGAGGCAGGAACTATTATTATCCTCAATTTATGATGAGGGTTTGAATACAGGTCAGATGCGTTAAGCATCTGGCCCAAGGTCACACAGTTAGGAAGTGGCGGAGTCTCTGGATCTCAGGCTCTCAATCTTTGCATACTTTAGAGATGTTCACTTATCTTATCTCACGGACTCCTCATGCTAACTGGATCTCCCCGTGAGGTGGGAATTAAGATCTCCATCCTACAGATGAGGAAAACAAGGCTCGGTTCTGGCAAAGACAGACCCAGACCCTAGGGTAGGAGCTCCTGCCTCCTGGCTGCCCCACATCATCCAAAGATCCATGTCTAGAACAAGAGCAAAAGGAAAGTGACCATTTGTTGAGCATGCACTAAATGCCAGCTCCCTTTTCATTCATTATTGCCCTGAATATGCCTCAGGGCCCTGTGATGTAGTGATTATTAACACAGCCCTATTTTACGGGGAAACAGATTTTGAGGAAAGAAGCTCTTATGAGGTTGCACAGTTAGTAAGTGACAGAGTGGGGATTTGAACACATGTCCTGTGCTTATGCTCCATCTACCTCATCACACTGCTTCCCTGCGTCTTGAGAAGCTAGTAGCAGAATCCTGCTGGGCCTGATAACTAACAGTTCTGGCTTCACGTCTCCTCAGGGAGGCAGATGATGCTCACCCAGTCTGTGAGAAGAGTCCGACCTGGGAAGAGGACCGTCAGCAACTTTGCCAAGCCTGCAGATCCCCAGGAGAGTGAGTTGTGGCTGGAACTGGGAGGGGTCACGAGGTGGGTGTTTACTGAGCTTGGGCATGATGTCAGGGTTGCATAGAAAGCCACTCTTACATGGCATTTGGTCTACATCTTTTTCCAGGCAGAGGGACCTAGTATATAGGACAGTCCTGAATCATGAAGCTGCCTGCTATGTTTCAGGAATGCTTTAGGGCTTGCTGGAGCCAGAGCATAGGCTGGCGGGGAGAGAGGGGGAGATGAGGATGGAGAGACAGCAGGGGCCAGCTCATAGTACCCTTAATGCTTGGTCAAGGGAGTTAAAGCTGGGAATGTGTGATCAGCCCACATGAAGAAAGCTCACCCTGACTGCAGTGTTGGGAGGGGTGGGAGTGGGGTCAGAGGGAATCTTGAGGTTGAGAGACCAGGCAGGAGGCTTCTGACATGGAATAGCCAGGCTGCTAAGGGCTTTAATGGAACCCCTGGCAGGGGGTGGGGTGCAGGAAGACAGGAGATTGGAGAGATGCTGGAGAGACAGATGCGATGGGCCGGAGACCAGTGGAGGGGGTTGGGTGGGAGTATATCCCCGAGGATATCAGGGATCACTCCCAGGGGCTGAATAAGAAAAAGGAACTGGAGCTCACCTGTGGCTCCAGGGCCTGGCTCCTCCCCCACCTGGCTCTATCTCCCAGGTTCTGGTGAATGGACAACATGGTTCAACATTGACCATCCAGGCGGGCACGGTGACTTCGAGCGGCTGGATGCCATTCACTTCTACTATGGGGACCGTGTGTGTGCTCGGCCCCTGCGGCTGGAGGCTCGGACCACTGACTGGACACCCGCAGGCAGCACTGGCCAGGTGGTCCATGGCAATCCCCGTGAGGGTTTCTGGTGCCTCAACAGGGAGCAGCGGCCCGGCCGGAACTGCTCCAATTACACCGTGCGCTTCCTCTGCCCACCAGGTGAGCCTGAACGGCCCCCATCCCCTACCTGCCTCTGGCCACGGGAACTCTGGATATCACACACACGCTTCGACCCCCTAGTAATACTAACCCACTTGTGTCATGAGAGCCATCATCTTCCCACCAGTGTTCTGTGTTTCTGGGTGTTCTTCATTCAGTCCACTTCACTGGGCGTGTGTGGCATGGTGGTGAAGACCACAGACTCAGAGCTGGGCTGCTCGGTCCCGACCCTGGGCCTGCCAGCTGAACTGTATTTCTTCGGCAAATTTTCTGAAAATCTCTGAGCTTCAGGTTCCTCACATGTAGAACAGGGGTAATATTAGTAAATCTTCATAGGTTTTGTTGTTGTTGTTGTTGTTGAGGATTAAATAAGATAATGATATAGAGGGCTTAACCCAGATGAATATTCACTAAGTGTTAGTTTCCATTTAGTTCCTATGTGCCAGACACTGCGCTAGTTATCTACATCATCCAAACTTTATTATTATTTTTTTATCCTCACCCGAGGACATTTTTCCATTTTTTTGTTCAGATAGAGTGGGAGGGAAAGAGAGGAAGAGAGAGAGAAACATTGATGTGAAAGGGACACATCGAGTGGCTGCCATCCGCACGACCCAACCAGGGCTGGGGACAAACTGCAACCGAGGTACATGCCCTTTGTGGGAACCAAACCCAGGTCTCTCGGGACCACAGGCTGATGCTCTAACCGCTGAGCCAAACCAGCCAAACTTTACAACTGACCTGTGAGGAATCTCTAAGTTGACAAGTTACTCCAGGTTCAGAGAGGCTAAGTAACGTCTCAGGATTACACGGCTGTAAGTGGAGAGCTGGGGTTTGAACCCATGTCTGTGTTTGCAGAGTCCCAAAGTTTATGCTTTTTATGTGCTCCCTCCCAACACTGGAAAATACAGAGCCAGCTGCAGGCCTGCCCACTTTGTGAATGGACACCTTCCCCTCTTGGGGTGCAGCCTGTGAACACAGCCCAACCCTGCAGGCCCAGGTGGCAGTGGGGGTCATCTGGAGTTGGAGCTCAGGCTGGGCAAGTTCTCCTGGGCAAGGTCTGAGGCCCCCATTCTTGCACACAGGCCTCAGACCAGAAGTGAGGAGGGTAGGCAGAACGGGGGTTGATGTCTGAATCATGGAAGCTTTAGGCCCTGGTGGCTGTTTCTACACTGGTGGAGAGGGACATTGGTGCTAACCCTGCACAGTGTGGGGCAGCATATCAAAGTCCCAGTGCTTGGCCACAAAGTCCCTCTCCCAGCCTCTCCTAGCCCATATGGTGACCTTGTGCAAATTAGAGACACCACTTCCTTAAGACTCTTGACTTCCTTCTGTTGGAAAAATCATTGCAGTAAATATGAATATCAGTGACATCTGTAATGTAAATGGAGGCCCTGCTCTCTGAGAAAACCGGCCTCAGGCCAAATTTCCTGACAGAGTCCCCTCAGGAGGGAAGTCAGCTTGTCTGCTGATCCTGCTTTTCAGGATCCTTGCGCCGAGACACAGACCGCATCTGGAGCTCGTGGTCTCCCTGGAGCAAGTGTTCTGCTGCCTGTGGTCACACTGGGGTCCAGACCCGAACCCGCACCTGCATGGCGGAGACAGTGTCACTATGCAGTGAGGCCACTGAGGAGGGCCGGCTCTGCATGGACCAGGCCTGCACAGGTATCACTCTTGTTCCTGGTACTGGACCGTGC